AATGACAACGGCATGGACCACGTTGCTGTCAAATTCATTTTTCTCTGGAACTTCTAGTTATCTCTTTTTTCTCACCTTAGACCTCTGAGCCAGGAGGCAGTGCCAACACATAAATCTTATTAAGGTGTGTCAGAAAGAGAGTTCTGTGAAAAAAAAATAATGCATGTCAAAACAGTCTAATCATTCTGCTTTGAATCACAGGTGGTGAACAAACTGGTTTACCTGGATAGCATTAAATTGCAGATGATGTTAGAGTGGATCCTTTCTTTAATCTATATTTTGAAAGTATCTATAGCACTTATATAAAGACATTGGTAAATGAAAAAGGATAGTTTTTTCAGAAGGTTCAGAACATGAATACATCTCAAAGTCACTGCTTCCAGATTGTCATCTGGGGCCCACCGTAGTAAAGATGTGTGAATCCGTTCTGTTTTTGTTCCGCTTTTGTTCCAAATTTCAGGTGCCCTCATTCTGTTTTCAAGGAAGCCATTCAGAGTCATAATTAGGAACCCTGAGTTCCTAATTTTTGGGAAGAATCTTCTCAAAAACAACACCCATGGGGGGGAGGCACAAAAACAGAATGTAATTCTGTGCTGTTTTGCACACCTCCTACAATGTAGTAGAGCAGTGGGATGGAATTTGAACAAGCAAGACAGCGAGCACTAATAATAATAATAATAATAATAATAATAATAAAGGCCACCTTACTAGAATCTGCATGCATCATTCGAAAAACATCACACAATCCTAGACGCTTGGGAAGTGTTCGACTTGTGATTTTGTGATACGAAATCCAGCATATATCTCATTTGCTGTGACTTTGTGATACGAAATCCAGCATATAGATCATAGGTAACTTAACATTTATTAGTATACAGCAACTTTATTTATAGACCACCCTATCTCCCCGAAGGGACTTAGGGCGGTTTCCAACACATATGGCAAACATTCAATGCCAGGAAAAAGACGTGATAACAAATTGCATCAAAACAATGCACATCAAAGAAAATAGAACAGCCATTACTATAAACTTAATACCAAATAGAAATTAACCAAAAAAAAACTTGACAACCCTAGCAAACATAATCACATAATATGAATGTATACATAATAAAATTTAAAACAACTAGAACCATGATTGGAAACAAAATGGTTCCCAACAATTAACAGGCTGAGATAGAAAGATTTACCATATCTAGGTGATGTTCTATATTGAGACGTAGTAGTCTTTCTCCTCTCTTTAGGCCAATGTGCATAGGTGTGTTTTTAGCACCTTTTTAAAGGTGAGGAGGGGGCAGTTTTTAGTTCTTTTGGGAGGCGAAGAGCGACCATGGAGAGAGCCTCCTCTCCCGTTCCCACCAGCTACAATTGAGATGGGGGTGGGACCGAGAGTAGGGCCTCCTCCAGAGATCACAGCACTCAAGCTGGTTTATAAAAGGAGATGCGGTTCTGCAAAAAGTCTGGATCTGAGCCATTTAGGGCTTTATAGGTAACAATCAGCACTTTGTATTTAGCCCGGAAGCACATCGGCAGCCAGTGGAGCTGCCGCAGCATGGGAGTTACCTCTCATGATACGATCCTCCAGTTAGTAACCTAGCTACCGATCTCTGCACCAGTTGAAACTTCCGAACTGTCTTCAAAGGCAGCCCCATGTAGAGAGTATTGCAGTAGTCCAAACGGGAAGTAACCATGGCCAGATCTGGTGTTTGAAGGTGTGGGCGCAGCTCACGCAGAAGTTTTAACTGTGCAAAGCACTCCTGGCCACCACTGACACCTGGGGTTCAGGGTCAGCAATGAATCCTCTTCCAACTAACCAGTAGTACCTTTGTTTTGTCTGGATTAGCCTTCAACTTATTAGCCCTCATCCAGTCCATCACTGATGACAGGGACCAGTTTAGGGACAGGACAAACAACCCTTACCTGACTTACTTGTGGGTCCATGTGGTCATTTCCCAATATATTATGCTATTTAGACTTATTCTTACATAGTTGCAATATGTTCCTAGGTAAATCATGGAGTCACATTGTTTAAAGTGGGTTAAACCCCTGTGCCGGCAGGACTGAAGACCGACAGGTCGCAGGTTCAAATCCGGGGAGAGGCAGATGAGCTCCCTCTATCAGCTCCAGCTCCTCATGCGGGGACATGAGAGAAGCCTCCCACAAGGATGATAAAACATCAAATCATCCAGGCATCCCCTGGGCAACGTCCTTGCAGATGGCCAATTGTCTCACACCAGAAGTGACTTGCAGTTTCTCAAGTATCTCCTGACCCGACAAAAAATAATTGTTTAAAGTCAAGGACACAATGAGTTTAACTCATTAGTGGACTTAATTCTGATGCTTTTTTCACTCTGTGAAGCAATTGGATTTTTTATTATCTTGTACCCATTTCCTTGAATAAGTAACTTATTAGAAATTGAAACAGATGGGGGTTTTCACCATTCTTATATAAGAGAGCATAAACAAGCATCTGGCAAATGCTCTACTGAAACACTTTGTAGTGTACTATGCAAACCTTCTGTGCCCAAAAAGTCACCCTTTTAGAAGGACCTTGCTATTCTTTTTAAACTAATCTAGCGTGGCCCAGTCCAGACTGATCTTACTTACTCTTCCTACAGCCTTTCGATTCACATTAAACCTGACAGTGTGGGGGCAAACTAGACCAATGTCTGTATCCAAGCTAGAAATACTGCTTTTAGTGCTTTTACTGTTCAGAGCATTTAGGTAGATTTATAAGTATTAGATAAAAGTAGCTAAGTTGCTTTTATCCCCTTCTGGACTTTCCATGTTTGTTGACTTTCATAAAAACGAGATGCAACATCTTCTAAGCCTTTTGGATATATATACGAAATCCTTCCAAGCACTGGCCAGTTTTAAAGAAATGTCCAAAGAGGATGGAGTGCTTTAAGCTCTATTTAAAACATAAAAATAGAAGAGTTACAGCAATTTGGCAGCCAAAAAAGCAATTTACAAGTCACCATGGAATCCGCAGCTATGTGTAGGGAAAGCTGATCAAGAGACTATGGAAAAGATAATGGAACCAGAGAACCAAAGGATCTCTCAGGTTGGAAAGTCACTTAATCTGGTGTCCAGTGAAATCCCTTAGTTTCTTTTCCTGAGCCATTAAAGCTTAGTGGGAAGTGGCCGTTGCATTATTATAGCTTTACGCGGCTTAGGGAAAGCCGGAGGACTGTAGTGTGGCTATCCCTTTGCAGCTGCTTGCTTAAACTGCACTCCTTCATTTCAGTTTATTTGTTTTAGCCATTAATTATAACAACACACAACAATGGAGCATAATAACTAGCCAGGCAGTAGAGTCACCGTCAGTCTCTTTAACAAAGATTTCAAAAATCTTGTCCGTAAGAAAAGAGGGAGTTTCAACCTTAACTCCGTCATATGCATTTTTGTAGGCTAATGAAACTTAGCACACCAGTTAGCACGCCAGTCTGCAATTATGTAAGCAAACTTCCAAGCCTACAACTCACTTGCCTCAAGTCAAAAGGAGGCCTTTGATAATTAAGTTACAGACTCAGCAAAAGGCGGGTCGGGTTATACAGTAGTTCTACAAATGAGTGGATCTTTCCCTATTCGAAAAGAGACACCTTTCCTTCTTAACATTGGAAAAAAGGGGAACACCAGTTGTTTTGATTTTTTTATTTTCTTTTCCAAAGAAATTTGTATTTATTTGTTTAACAAGAATGTGTAAAATATAAATCAAAACTAGGCAATCATCAAAAAAGGCAATCATCATACACAAATCTTGTTTGATTTTTTTAAGAAAACAATTGCCTCAAAACACTGCTAAGTTTGACCAATGCATCCAAACATGAAGAATTAGTATGCATTTTAAAGTATGTAATCCCGTATTTTAGAGATATTTGGCACACACAGTTGAAGACATTCATTGCGAGGGGGGGAGAGCAAAGCTTTTTAAAGTCACTTCTGTGGACCATGCACAGTTCTTTCTAACTACTTAATTTTCTTTATTCTTTTTCCCACTATACATGTTTCAGATTGAAGAAAAAGTCTTCTTCAAAAAAGGAGGAGCAATGAAGGACACACAAAGTTATTTTAATGTTTGTTTAGGGAGGGGCTTTTGTGGGCAAGATTTATCCACTGTTTGTGACAGTTTATCACAGTTTTGTTGCTAAGATCTTCCATCATGTATAAGGTTACACCTAACTGCCATTTGCTGCCCTCTGGACAAACAGTCGGAGAGCAGCTCGAAAGCAATTTGTGAACTAACGTTGTTTTCTTTACAGGACCCTTTCTGTATTGAGATCTCAACTCAGTAATACTCAAATCTGTGGTATAATTATGTCTTTATTGATCATTGAGATAGGCTTTCAGACATGTTTGTTGTTGGTGGCTATATCTTAATTCAGATTCATTGACACTAACTCAGGCCCCTTCCACACAGATAGATACAATCCCACATTTTCTGCTTTGAGCTGAAATATATGGCAGTGGGACTCCAATAACCCAGTTCAAAGCAGATATTGTGAGATTTTCTGTCTTGATATTCTGGATTATATGGCTGTATGAAAGGGCCCTTCATTATCAGATTGTATTGTGTGTCTTTAGCTGGATGTTGTGCTCTCAATACTTTTATTGGTTATTGGAAGCCATCACTAGAGAGGTTTTACTCTTAAAGGTAGATTATAAATACTTTAATTAATAATATGCAAATAATATGCTCAAAATATGTAGATTTGCATAGTCCTGTTATCATAGAGCTTTTTTAAGCTTTACGGTTCTCAAAAGATACGTGAACCCTATAAAGTAGCCTTTAGGAGAAATTATCGAGCTTTAAAAAATGAGATCCACACTGCCCATATACCTTGTTTTGAATCTTAAATATCAGGAAATTAAAGCATTACAAAATGTGGGGACAAAAGCCACAAAAATGGGTGAAGATAAGAGCAAGCGTGCTACAAAAAAACATGTTTTGCAATATAAGTGAATGTCCTTTGCATAATACTTTGTCTCTTTTTTTAAAGATCTAGTTTTTCAAGAGAAATAGATACAAAGGAACATTCATTCATAAGACAGATTTATACTACATTGCAGATGAACAAAGATGAAGCTTGCTGTGAAACAGGTATGGATACTGACAAATCACAACTATGTATAGCCATGAATGTTTCAACACATTAAAATGAACTTTTAGAATTTATAGTAAGTCTGTAGAATGAATACACATGGAACAATGAAACAGTTTGATTAAAAGTAATGAAAAACAAAATATTTGGGGGTTCTATACTAAAGTATACTTTTAAAGGAGCCATGGTGGCACAGCAGGTTAAACCACTGAACTGCTGAACTTACTGGCTGGAAGGTTGGTGGTTCAAATCCACGGGACGGGATAAGTTCCTGCTGTCAGCCCCAGATCCATCCTAGCAGTTTGAAAATATACAAATGTGGGTAGATCAATAGGAACCACGGTGGGAAGGTAAATGGCACTCCTTGCAGTCATGCCAGCCACATAACCTAGGAGATGTCTATGGACAATGCCGGCACTTCGGCTTAGAAATGGAAATGAGCAACACCCCCCAGAATCGGACACGACTAGTCTTAATGTCAAGGGGAAACCTTTACCTTTACTATATCTTTAAACCTTTAATTTCTCCTCACAAAAAAGGTGAACCTCAAATTAAACATGTTACTACATTCAGGTCAGGATCCTACATTGTCACAATACAGTGCAACTCCTTTGATTCTGCGAAAAACATCATTTCTCATACCACCTCAAGCATACTATTTTGGATAGTTCACAGTTTCAACTCCAATTCAAGTGTGTTTGCAATAAAACGTATATCGATCAAATAAAATGCAATGTTTGCTTGATCTAAGTGGGTAGGTTTATCTTATGATGTTCACACTTGGAGTCAAAGGCTAGAGTTCAAAAGATGTGGGGGAAACAATGAAAATCACAAGTGTTGAGAAAAAAATTAAAATGAATGGGGAAAAAATTAAAATCCACAAGAATGATGACAATATATAGTTGGTAGAAATAGTACAGACAATGGAAACAGTAGAGAAAATATTGTAACTAGGTTGGTGGTAGCCATTGCGGTGTCTGCACTGCATCCAGCTCTGGTGCAAGGGGAAATAGGATCCTGGTGTCTTGGAGATGTGGACAGCTGGATTCGGCAGGATCTTGTCCAGCTCAGTGTCCACTCTTCCAACATGATCACAAGAGGAGATGCCCAGATCCTCATATGTACACTGAAATAAACAGTAATACCTACCCAGCACATGGCAGAGGATACCATGGAAGAGGAATGTGTGAAAAGGACAGCAGAACAGCCAGTTCAGAAAGAAACTGGTATTCTACAACTTGCCAGTTTTAGTTCTAGAGTGGCAAACTAGAGAAATGAGACACTTGTACAGGTATCTTAGAGAAGGCAAGTAGCTGTGCTATGCCACTGCTATATTTCCATATTTTATTTTTCTACAGTGAACAAATGATTATTTCTTAGTAGCCCACGGAAACACATTCAGGCATATTTTATACATAAATATATACATGTGTGTGTGTGTGTGTGTGTGTTGGCATAATTGTAAAGAAGAAATGCGTGTCATTCTTATGTTTGTACTTACTTTACTTCAATATACTAATTGCACCTGCTGCTTCTCAGAAAGAGGAATGCATGGTAGAGACAACAGTACAACTGTTCACTTAAGTAGAATACAAAGTATGGAGTTGGCCTATGTGTATCTTCTTTAAATACACTCAATAATTTTGCGGTTCCTTGAATAGACTTGAACAGCAGCGCAATCCAACATGGGAGAGGGTGTCGTCCCCGTCCCCCCCCCCCCCATTATTCTTTTGGCCCCAAAGACATCCTGCCCCATTGAGCAAGGAAGGGAATTTGTGTGGGACTTAGATCTACATGTAAAATACAACAAGTGTACCTTTACATTAAACTGAATGCCTCTTAGAATTATTTATATCTCACTTTCTTTATTTTCACTGAATTAATTACTCCCCCTATGTTTTGTTTTCAGAAACTTCTGAGGAGGCACATGATAAAGAGGTAACTGGCTGTCAACTTACTCAACCATAAAATTTCGAGTTTCTCTGGCAGCACTTCATTTATAAGGCCGTGCTAATCATGTATATACTATAGTATTATTGTACACAGCATTTGAGAGCATACAATATGACAGACATCAGCATAGCAATAGGGGCTATCAAGAACAACCTGAAATTCAACAAATAAGAAGCTAGAGGAAAGTCATCAGGAAAAGAATATGGAGTTGTATCTGCTACAAATACTTAGGCTTCTTTGCAAGGAATGGGAATACAATAGGGAATGAAGCCACTTGAATCCGAGCTTTCCTGATATCAGACCTGATAGGAGCAAAGAATATATAAAATCACACAGGCAAGAGTGCAAATGTAGTTGCATGTTAGACCCATTACAATGATCAAAGCAGGAGGTCCACAGAGCATGGAGAACTGCAACGAAGTTGTCTCTGATTAAGCAAATTTGCATTGGTTTGCAATTAAAGGCGATGAAAGAACACTCCTAGCCACTTAGGGTCCTTGTGACTCTTGTAATAACAGTGGAACAAGGAGCAGCTCCAAAATGGGAATATGAGGGGCAGGGGGGCTGCAGGCTATTTCAGGTCCTCTGAAGATGCAGGCTAAACGTCAGGAGAAAATGATGGCACCTTAGCTGAAGGGAGATCTGGCTTACAGGTAGAAGCACTATGTAGCTTACCTCCGATTTCCAACTTAGGCTAACTATGCAGAAAGATAGTCCTGAAAAGTCCAAAATAATTTAAAGGGCCATCTTGTCTTTCTCTCAACAGAGGTCATATCACAAGGTGACTAAGGAAATTTCAGTTTAGATTAATGAGGTTAAAAAAGGAAATGCTTTGTTTACAATAAATAAAATTCTATTAATAATAGATATAATAGAAATAGTAATAAAATAGTAATAATGATGCATAGATACTTTTACTCATTCAATAAAGTGATGTCAGTACTAGTGTCACCCTACATATCTGAAGTGTACGGCTGTATCAGATAGGGGAATACATGGTAGGAGCACACACCTACACACTTCTTGTGCAATCTCCAAAAACAACCACATTTCACGTTTTCAAATACAGAACAGATTTGGGGGAGAAAATCAGTCTTCAAACATGAGAGATTTGCAAAAACTAAAGCCCCTGCAGCTTTGGAATAGGAATTCTAAAATCACAGCTCTTCAGAAAAGATAAGTCATGCCAAGCAAAGGTTTTATTTGGACACTAGTGCAAGTGTGTTATGGTGTTTGCGGTTTTTGAAATGTACAAGGAAATCTGAAATTGATTCTCTTGAACAATTGTAAAAGAGTATAGAATAGAGGGGAACATGGCTGTGTTATGTCAGGCTGACAGCCCTTTAGGGTTTGTTAGGAAATCACTAGCGTACAGTAACAATAAAAAATACAGCCGTGTTGCTGGACATATGGTTACAGGTATCAGTATGTTTTTGTTATTCAAAGATATTCCTCTATAACATTGTGCTACAGATTATTTTAAGCCTCACTGTTAAAACATGTATACCATGAGATGGAGCTGCTGGTCTTTCTCAATTGATCCCCTCTGATGTCTGAAAATTTAAATTGAAAAAAAAAAACCCTTGCAAATGCTATTTGAACTTGCCAACACACAAATAAGCCTGAAGCAGCCTTAACTTGCACACTTCTGCTGCCAACTTTTATACCTCCTTACTCAAATGACTCAATTATATATTGAATGAGGCAAGTTTCCTTTTGTTTGGAGTTCCACGCCTAGTTTTCTGTACATCATGAAGAGTGAAGCATACATATGCAGGTATCAAAGGAAGCACTGCCTCATCAGAGAGAAACACGTTCTCTAACGAAAACATGTTACTGTATATTACAAAATATCCCCATATGTTCTGGAGGAATGACAGGATATAAATGAATATTTTAGTAGTCGTTGCTGTAGTCATTAAACTGCCATTAAAAACGTTTCAGGATTTTGCTCATGAATACAAAAGTATGCACACTTGAAATTGGCATTTGTGAATTATTTTTAGGAAATACGATCTTCTAGAACAAAGTTAACAAATGAAACAAAAAATAGAAATTAGTCTGTTTTGAATTAATACTTGTGAAAGTTGGTGTCTTGAATTTGTCTAGAAAGTAGAGAATGCAAGTCTTAAAATCTAGAGTGTGCATTTGATTCATACACAGTAACAAGTGTTAATGTTTTCTGTCTACAGGAAATCAGAGGAAGCAACTCTGTCAAAGTGGTGCATTTTGGACTGGTGTAAAACAAAAATGGTAATTCTTTATACCCTTAAAGAAAGTTAAGGCAGTACTCACCATTTTCTGAGGTCAAAGGGAGCTTTTGTACTGTTTTAGATTCAGGCAGTCTTGAAATTTTATAGCTCATCGGCACCTATGAAGCACGTTTAGTGCCTGTTGTTTATTTCTGAGAAAAGTTGTTTTTTTTCATGTCAGGAGTGACTTGAGAAACTGCAAGTCACTTCTGGTGTGAGAGAATTGGCTATCTGCAAAATCCTTGAGTTTTCCAGGGGACGCCCAGAAGTTTTACCCTCCTTTGGGAGGCTTCTCTTATATCCCCATATGGGGGGCTGGAGCTGACAGACGGGAGCTCACTCTCCTCCCTGGATTCGAATCGCTAACCTTTTGGTCAGCAGTCCTGCTGGCACAAGGGTTTAACCCATTGTGCACTGAGGGCTCCTCTCTGAGAAAGTTAAGCAAGTAGTTAGATCAATTGGATTTAAATGTACTCAACTTTGACGGGACCCGTCTACTGTTTTTAAATACAGCTTAGTCCTGAAACCCATTTGAGCTTCGTCTCTCACGTGCTGCTCTGCACGTTCCAGTGTTTCCCAACCTTTGATGCTCCAGGTGTTTTGGACTTCAACTCCCTGAAATCCCAGCTAATTTACCAGCTGTTAGGAACTGTGGGAACTGACGTCAGAATACCTGGAGGACTAAAGGTTCAGAACCACTGGGCCAAGGCATTTGTCCACTAATTAACAAAATATGTTAACACCAGCAAGACATAATATAGCCCAACATTTTTCTGTTCCCCTCTACTCATTACTTCATGCCTTGGATAGGTCACACTTACAAGGTCATATTTATTTAGTTGGAGACCAGTACTTACATCATTGACTCATATATTAAAGGGGTGAAAAGATACCTTTACTGGAGGCCTTACTGAATGTAGAATAGTTCCAAAGTTTTACTAGTTATATTAGTTATATTACTCAGATCAATTACACTATGTAACAAAATTTGAAAAAAAATCTGTTCCTGGTTTGAAAGTTTTGTTTCCTATTTAATTATGTGATACTTATTTTGGAAGTAGTTGTTATACTCCAGGAACTTTGTTTTTGTGACTGCCACAACTATGTTGAATTCGTTGAGCTTTTGAGATATTCATTGAAAAATTATAGCAAAATGTACTGCTATAACAAAGTTTTGTCAGTGTAATAAAAATTTTTCCTTGTTTCTATGATAGAGCCAATTAGGAAATGACATTTATAACCAAGGAACAAAAATTGTGTTACTTAGCATTATCATTCTGTTTATCTTCCTCTCTCTTCTATGCTTAGTGATAAATAATATAAAGTTTATATAGAAAGAGAGCAAGAGAGCATGAAAGAAAGCTTGTTTCAGTCATAAACTGTATAAACTTTACATTGCTTACAACTAAAGCAAAACCCTAAATGATTTCCAATGTATCATGTTTTTAGAAATGTTTTTAATTTTTTTCAGCAATGATCATAGTGTATAAGGGCAACAATAAAAAACATATTTTTTACACATGGAACAGTGTTTTGGCCACAACTTTCTCATTAGAGATTCCATTAGGTAAGCACACAGCCCAAATGCTAGCCATCATTAAAGTCTTCCTAGCATGATGTTGGGCTGAATGTGGAGACAGGGTTTCCCATTTTGCAAAAATGAAATAAAAATGTTTTTGTACGTCTGTACGTCTAGCTGCATAGTTGTTCCACTTCCACAAAGGCTGCAATTGTTTCCAAAGAGCTTGCCCATTTTGGCTCACATCCTCACATCTTAAAAAACCACAAAAACAATCCAACATAAAGTAAAGTAAATAGCACTTTACAGAAGTGACTTGCAGACTTATGAAGCAGACAACTCAAGGAGCTCAAAGACCAAGGTATAGAGCACGCATCAGCAAATTTTGGCCCTCCGGGTGTTTTGGACTTTAATTCCCACAATTCCTAAGAGCGAGTAGGCTGCAGGAGTTGATGTCCAAAACATCTGGAGAGCCAAAGTTTGCCCATGCCTGGCATAGAGGCAGGGGCGGCTCAACCCATTACGCAAAGTAAGCATTTGCAGTATAGTTGATTTTGCCCAGGGGCTCTCTTGAGGCGTTCTTGGGGGGAAATAGACCTTGACATATGCGAGTTGTAGTTACTGGGATGTATAGTTCACCTACAATCAAAGAGCATTCTGAACTACACCAATGATGGAATTGAACCAAATATGGCACACAGAACTCCCACGACGAACAGAAAATATATATCAGTGATTGGTTGGGGGGGGGGGGGCGCCAAAATACTGTTTGCTTACCATTGAAAATTACCTAGGGCCGCCTCTGCATAGAGGTCCCCAGAAGACCTCCTGTTTTCCACCAAACTATGCCATAACGTACAATGAATAAACTGTTCTTTAGGGTAAGTGAGTGGGAAGACTCATTCTGAACTGGCTTTGTGTTACTTGTAGAGTTACCAGATGTACTGCTATCCACCTCCAAGGTCCAAGACACAGTTCAAAGCCAACCAAAATGATGGGGCCGTGGAGCTCAGCAAAAGAGTAGGGCAGTGCAAGACCCCAACAGCCTCCTCCAACGCCTCTCTGCCTCCTCGTCTGGCACAAACCGCTGTGAAAAGACACCTGAGCATCTTAGAACTGCCTACTCCTCCCACGCTATATGACTGCAGAGTGAAACTTCAACTTAAAGCTCTGCAGTTGATATTTTAATATCATTTTAACAGATAGCATCTTCACTTGGGATGCCTCTACAAAATATCAACTTTGAATAACACTGTATTGCGAAGAAAAATGCTCTCAGCTTTGCCATCTCCCTTTTAGTTTAGTTGACTATTACTTGACTTGCTTAAAAACCAAGAATACATAATACTTATTGCATGTTAAGGTATTAACAAAAATGGATTGTGAAGGAAGCATTCTGTTGTATTTGCCATAAGTGTCCCTTTGCATTCATGTATTAAGAATGGCTTTTCTCCTCTGTTCTTCTCTTGTGTCGTCGGAAGACTGGTGTGATATAATACAAATTTAATCTTAGCCATTCAAGTTTGGGATCGAAATTAATTGAAATTTAGTTATGCCACTAAAATGCACTCTTGCCAAATAAAGAGATGGAAATTGATTTTTAATATTTTGATTTTAAGAGCATCTTTTTCGAATCTGCATTTGAGATATTTGGAGGAGTTTTTAGGTCCTCAGTTTTGTTTAAAAAAACCTTTAGAAAGTGTACAACACATGCCTTGTGGATGATAGGTTTAGTAGCAAGAAGAGGGAAATAAAGCACAGAGACTTATCAGTAATAGTCAGACGAATGCATTAAATCCATGCTGAAAAGCTTATGTCCTCAGCAGACAAAAAGTGGTAAAATGCGTAAGATGCTCAGCCCTCATTGGGGGAAGGGGGCTATTAGTAACGCGGGAGCTATGAGACAGATACGTCATTAACCATGCTCTATTCCACCATGTATAGCTGCGTATAAAACAAAATGGTTTCTATGCTTCTTTACAATGGCTTGAGGAGAGCATATGGCTCACAAGATATTACATGTAAATGCACTTTCCTTGGTAAATGCAGTCCAACAACAGATCAAGGGAACCTTTTGCTTGTTCAACCTAAGGATGCTAAAATACGTTACTGAGCCACGGAGCTATTTTGCTGAATTGCAGCCATATTTCTGTCAGTACAAGTGATGGTCTATATGAGGGATTAATCTGACACCAGACAGTGATCCTTAATCCTTCAGTATATCATAATCTATTTACTTTGCATGCTAAGAGGATTTTGGTTTTAAAATATACAGGAAGTGATGCTAGAAATGCACAGAAGATCAGGAATGCCATTTCCTAAAACCTCAGTTTCGAATACAATTCTTTTATGGATTTCTTGGAGTTCTGTCCTTTCAAAGCATTGAATAGAGATTTAGCTGGAACCAGGCATATGTTTCTTTTTTTGTACAACAGCCCTACAACTGTGTTTCTTCCTGCTACTACTCCACCACTTTTGTTCGCGTGCTTGTATGCCGGTTGTAAGACATGAAATGAAAGCTTTTCCTCTACTGCAGATCATTTCCAGCGGGATGACATGCGAGTCTTTTTCTTGACAAAATCAAAGTCGATTTCCAAGCCTTGGGCCATTTTTGTGTTACTGCTGGGTTGATTTATTGAAAGCGTTTACAAACTCTACATTCAGTCCCCAAAATATATTAATAATAAATAATAAAACTTTATTTATACCCCGCCAACATCTCCCCAAGGGGACTCAGGGAGGCTTATATGAGGCCAAGCCCAACAATCACAACAAAGCAAATATACAACATAAAATAATACATCAATAAAATAAAAAGTACAAAATAGGCACACAATACAATACAAAATCACAATAATCGATCAAGATCGGCAGAGCCGGTTGCAAAGATTAAAATGTTTAAAAACTCTAGGTGAGATAAGTAATGTAGTGTATCTAGAAAGAGGTTCAAGTGGGATGAAACAATGGGGTTTAATTGCACTAGAGCAGGGGTCCCCAAACTAAGGCCCAGGGCCCAGATATGGCCCTCCAAGGTTATGTACACGGCCCTCGCTCAGGATCAACCTAAGTCTGAAACAACTTGAAAGCACATCACAACAGCAACAATCCTATCTCATCAGCCAAAAGCAGGCCCACACTTCCCATTGAAATACTAATGAGTTTATATTTGTTCAAATTGTTCATTTTAATTATTGTATTGTTTTAAGTGTTTTTGAACTAAAAATAAGGTATGTGCAGTGTGCATAGGAATTAATTCATGTTTTTTCAAATTATAATTATAATTCGGTCCTCCAGCAGTTTGAGGGACTGTGACCTGGCCCTCTGTTTAAAAGGTTTGAGGACCTCTGCACTAGAGGATGAGATAAAGTGCATCCAAGAGCATTTTATGCCGGGTTTGATCAAGGTCAGGGATTATTGTTCACTCATTCAAGGAACACCGGAATAGACAGGTTTCTAGGCTCTTCCTGAAGACTGCCAGGGTGGTCACTTGCCTAATTTCTCTGGGGAGCGAATTCCAGCACCAAGGGGCCACCACAGAGAAGGTCCTCTCCCTCGTCTCCACAAGTCACATTTGCGACGGGGACGGGAGCAAGGGAAGGGCCTCTCTGGAAGATCGAAGGGATTGTGTAGATTCGTAGAAGGAAATGCAGTCACGAAGGTAGGCGGATCCCAAACCATTCAGGGCTTTGTAGTTAAGAACCTGCACCTTGAATTGGGACTGGAAAATAAACGGCAGCCAATGGAGCTCCTTAAACAGGGAGGTAGACTGCTCCCTGTAATTTGCTCTAGTTAGTAGCCTGGTTGCTTTTCGTTGGACCAATTAAAGTTTCTGGGCCGTCTTCAAGGGCAGCCCCACGTAGAGTGTTACAATAGTCCATTCTAGAGATAACTAAGGCATTGACCACAGTGGCCAAGTCAGACTTCGCGATTTGCTGTGGAATACATTAAAATTGCAATTCTTAATACAATATTGTAACAATACAAATTAGACAATGTTCCAATAAAATCACAAGAATGTATACATGACTGCTAAGCAACTACATGGCTGCCAGTCATTCAAAGTTCCGGCCTAGCTTACCTGTCCAAATGTATCTCCCTCTATGAACCATCTTGGAGATTGAGGTCATCTGGGGAGGCCCTGCTCTTGGTCCCACTTCCCTTGCAAGTGCGATTGGTGGGGGCGAGAGACAGGGCCTTCTCAGTGGTGGCCCCTTTGCTATGGAACTCCCTCCCCAATGAAATTAGATCAGCACCCTCCCTCCTGGCCTTCAGAAGAAAAGTAAAAACTTGGCTATGGGACCAAATCTTTGGGGAGTAAGCAGTACAAGGAATGATCAGGGATTAGGTGCTAGAAATACAATATTTGGAACTGCCTGGACTACGATTGTTGGATTGTGTTATTTGAGTGTTTATATGGATATGTTTTTAATTCCATGTTTTAATGTTGATAATTTTATGTTACTATCGTCATGGTAGGTTTCTGTATGTGAGGCATTAAATTTTGCCATAATTATGTCAGAAACCACTTTGAGTCCCCTGCTGGGGTGAGAAAAGCAGTTATACAAGTGACACAAATAAATAAATAAATAAATAAATAAATAAATGCAACGTTTCAAACCAACAAAAAAAGACTTTAAAATGCAAATAACACCTTGTCCTGGCACACACACACACACAAGATTATAACCATACCACCCTTAAAAGAAAGCTCCAAGGGCAGGACATCACTCCAGAAGGCATAACATTGCTTGTTTGCTGAAAGAGCTTGGAGAAAAGCTCTCACAAGTTCTCCATTAATGTGAAGTTTGGTATGACTGGAGTTGCTCTTGAATAATTTCAGATCCACTCACCTTTAAGATTTTAAAAGCAACTATATCTAAATAGAGATCAGAAACACATTTAAAAGTCTGATATACATAAGCCAGACAAAGCCCTAGCAGCTGTCTTCCACTCTATTTCAAGCTTTATAGAGACTCCAGGTACAAGACATTACATTAAACAATCTAAAGTTTCCCAAGACATGGATCATCTTAAGAAGGGTATCCCTAGCCACAAAAAGAGAGCTAGTGAACAAATTGAAGCAAGCAAAAAGGATTTCCAAGCTACCAAGAAGACTACCTGTGGTATTCCAGCTCACCAAGGCTAAAAGTATAGGGATCCTGAAGCAACTGTAAACTATACGCTTGCGTCTTCAGGGAAGTGAGGCCCCATTCAGAACAGTCTGAGCCCAATATCTAGGCCCTGGAAACATGCACCTGAAATATCTCTTGAAGGTTTCATATTCTGTTTTCAGATTCTCATCCAACCCATTACTGAATCCAGATAATGACTGAACTCTGCCACAGCCTCACCTTTCTAATGAAAAAACAAATAACAATGACATCTCATTTAGTACCTATTGGGTGCCCTCATCCAGAAGCTTCATGTTCACCATGAAACTAGATTAAAACCCTTCTGCCTCTGGCCATTTTATAGAAAGATAACAAATCTCCCAGTGCTGCTTTTTGAAATATGAGTGTAATGACTGTATGCTGTACACAGCACAGAAATTGTCTAACAAGATATGGTGTCAAATGCCACTGAGAGATCAAAGAAAATTAACAGGATTCAATTCTCCATCTGTTTCAGTAAAGCTGAGGCAGTGCTGAATCATGTTCTCAATCGAGATTGAAATGAGTCCAAATAATTTGGGGTACCATGCTACAAATTTGATTCAAGTTTTACCTGGTTACCAAGCAGGCCACCTGACACCCATTTAGATCACCATCTAGCCACTTTGAATCTCCTTTGTGAAGAGAAAAGCAGGTTATAAACATAATAATAATAATAATAATAATAATAATGGCGATGGCGATGATGATGATGATGATGATGATGATGATGATGATGACACAATATGAGGATTTAAAGATCGAACTGCAAAGACTCTGGCACAAGCCAGTAAATGTGG